AGGAATAAACTCGTGCTGCAGGACTCACCTGTGAGAGAAGTGCTCTGCATCGCAGGCCTGGAGTAAGAGGATTGGGGAACAGCCTGTTTGGTACCCCAGCACTTGGTTCCTTTTGGCTGAAGTACTGATGTGTGACGTCATGGGAAGAGCACAGCCCTGGGTTTGAAGTATGGCTTCACCACTTAAGAGCTGTGTGACCTTGGCAAATTACTGTAACTTTCTGAGACTGTTTCCTAGCCTGAAAACGTAGATAATAGCACTGCCTTGCAGAGTTACCTTGCGAATATGTATGTAAGGCATAAAAGTGACTGGATTATAGTAGCTCAATAAAAGTTCCTTTTCCCCTTAGGAGGTTTAAAACGAAAGTTACCTTTTAGGTAAAGGTCATTATATTGTCACTGCCTTAACGCTAGCAACAGAACCCCTTTCCTTTCCAAGAGAGAAAGAAGAAAGAGTAACTTTTACTCTTCTGGAATGTAACTGATAGAGTCAGATGGTGCAGTAACTCCCAGAGAACAAAGGCCTGGTACGGATGTACCCTATTCTCTTATTCCAAGATGTCCAACAGCACCCAGTAATTGCTGTCAGCCATACTGCAGTTGTGACACAGTTGTCATGGCCTGCCTATGCATGAATTTGGTCATAGCTGTTAATATTATCACTGCTTTAATTTAATTATGTGTGTTGTTGGTTCTGCACGTGTTATTTAATTGCTGTTTAAAATGTCTTCAAAATTATACTGTGATTCAGCATTGAAATGTAAAGTCATCGTGAATGCTGACAGGCACCAGAGCAGAGAAGCAGGGTATACATTTGCTATTAGTGAAGCAGATATCTGCATTCATATTTTCTAGAAGAAAACAAACAAGTTCTTTCTCAAACCTGAAACAGGAAGATCACTTTTAGTAGATGAATTTTTGTTTTGTTTTGCTAACTGAGATATCCTTGGAAAAACATGGATATTTATGACTCTGAATCAGAAAATTCTTCAGATGAGTTGGACTCTGAATGTGAACAAGTTTTTTAGGAATAGCTTACCCAATTAATTTTCCGTTATTTTCCTTTTAATGTATGCCCAAGAGTGATAAGAGGTTTTTTACATTTGTCATTCTGAGTGATCAGAAAGCAACGAATCATTGTTTCCTTGGTAGTTTTTCCATTCTTAGTGATACATTAAAATAAAGAGGAAAGGGGCCCTCCTGAAGAAAGTGACGAGCAACTCTACTGAACTCGGTGGAGTATATGGGAGGCAAGAGTGCACTTGAGAGTCAGAAACCCCACGATGATGCGCTGGTACACGTCAGGCACCTCCCATTCATCATGGAGTCTTGACCCTTCTCACCAGTGGTATGCAGGTGTCCTAGACCCAGGTATTCTTCAGAACCAGGGCTGGAACAAGAAACCATTCCATGGGTGATAAGAGGCTGGGTCCAGTGGTGCCAGCCATGCCAGGAGCCCAAAGAGAACCTATTTGGATTTGACAATCAGTTACTGAATACCTTCCCTGAGCTGGTCCTGTGCACCTCATAGATTATCCTAACAATACTTGGCTAAGAAATTACATCACAACAATCCTGAAAGATGTCCACTGGGGCAGATACTGCCCTTTGGGAAAATACTTTGCTAACATATAACAAAAGATACAAAAACCAGTCCTGCCCTTTGAGTTGTTAATTCAGTGTCTGGGAATTCATGCACATGAAGTTGTTCATTTTTACTACATTGTTACTTATAAGAGTGAAAGGTTGGAAGCAACTTAATGTCTAACTCTAAGGATAGGATTCAACAAATTACGGTGCATTCATACTTTGTGGAATATTATACAGTCTTTAAAATAATAATCACAAAGATTATAGGACAGTATGGGAAATGTTAACATAGCCAATGAGAAAACAATAAAATGTACACACTTTATAATTCAAAGATATTGCTACCGTGGGCCAATATTAAAAAGGAACAATAAAAAAATGAAAGTAGTTGCATTAAGGTGATATAAGCATAGGGAGGTGGTTTTTTCCCCCTCAAATTTATTTTTATAATAAAAAGACAAAAGGTTTCCAAGAAAACGAGTCAGTAGCTACAATAATTGTTGAGGTATGTAGAGAATGGAAATTGTTTTCAGAGTGTACCTAGAATTACCCAGCTACATACTTGCCACATTGAGATGTTAAGGAGACTCTGGGTTTCTTTTTCTTTCTTCTCTCTCTCCCCATTTGGAATTTGTAATTATTTATTTGTAGAGCAAAAATGTAGTAGATTCAGGGAAGTATTCAAGGCTTTGTAAGCAAACAATCACAATGTAAAAGGTATTTGTCCAAATTTGCATTCATACAAAACATAGAGCTACTGTGATTTCAGAATAAATGTGTTTAAAATATTTTCTAAACACAGAGCTGTTGTAGTCCTAACAATACTTGGCTAAGAAATTACATTTCTATGATAGGCCATAATTACTCTTCAGAATATTATTGGGCTTAAAAAAATGCCCACCTAAAGATACCTGAAGAGTGAGTCCCATTTTGTCCCTTCTTGCATCCGTAGTCACTTCTATATGACTCCTTTTTCCTCTATTTCAGGGTATCATTGATTTTTATTGCAGGACAAAAGGGCATGGCATTAAAACCTACGTACATAAGAGCCTATGGTTAAATTACACAGAGGACTTTTGCCATAGGTATTTATTTTCACCTTTTTCTCACAGTTGTTTGAATGTCTTTTATTTGTGTGTTAACTCATTTGCTGGAATTTCAGTTCTGAAATTCTAATGAAAACTCATGGTCCCTGGCAATTGCATGATTAAATGTAGGAGCTGGAAAAGTTGATAAGATTTAGTTAAATATTATGGATTTGAGTTTTTCTCTCTGCTATGTGTTAAGCTGTACTTCTGGACACATTAATAAGTGGCCATTTCTCTGGAATTCTGCACTCTTCCTGCTTCCTTTCATTACATTAGGCAAGGTTCCACTAGATGAGACATTTGCAGTCTCAAGACTTCCTGCCGGGGTTCAGACTTTGTATTTTTGACATTGAAGCTGTCGTGTTCCTGAAGCTACTTAATTAGAAACACATTCATTTCAGTGTACACTGGAAAAAACTTGGACAGCAGAGCCAGGCACACTGGGAAGTTTGAGCATTTGTGTAGCTGGCAGCTAAACTAATGGTTTACAGTTTAAGGCAAAAAAATATCACAGGGCATTTCCTTGCCCCTAGAAGCAAAGAGAAGCTGTATGTGCATAGCAGATACCTTTATAAAAAAAAAAGAAGAAGAAGAAGAAAGAAAAGAAAGGACAACTCCACTTTCACTGCAGTTGTATGTGTAGTTCGTCTTTAGCTATTATCACGTACAAAAGTCTTCGAGAAGAATAGTTCCCAAACTGTGCTGCTAATATTCAAGTCTGTTTTACAGGTTCCCAAGATATGTTACTGCTGAGATCTGTATTAAGGAAAACATTGTATATTCTGGGGGAAGGATTTTTTCTTGAAGAATTTTATTTGTTGGATAGTAATGAGGGAATTATGGGCTTTCTTATTTTTAAATGTTGGAGCAGTTTTACAATGTACATCTGACGTTTAAAAACCTTTCTTGCCTATCCATCGCTTTCAGGATAAAACCTAAACTCTTTAGTATTCAGTTAGAAGCAATCCTCTCCTGCATCATGTACTTAACTACTCCTTGTTGCCCCAACCCTGTCCCCAAAGAGCCATCCTTGTCCACACACTTCTACTACACCAGCTGCCCCAGAAGAAAAGTACCTGGTCACCCCAGTCTGAGCCAGGTATCTTTCCTCTAGGCTCATAAAATACCCTCTGTACACTTCATAGGATGCATCACATACTGGACAGACAGATGGAAACGTTGCCCATCACTCCCTTCCTCTCTGTGACCTCCCTCCCCTCACCCCAAGAAAAACACTGTGTGGGAGGTGAGCATGAGGATTTTAGGTTCCACATAACAAAGTCAGTGTGGCACAAAGGAAGAAAGGGACACTGACTTTGGTGACACTGAATAAGTGATTTAACCTCTCTAGGTCTCTTTCCTTCTCTGTAAAGTGGGGGTAATACCTACCTCGCAAGGTTGTGTGGATCAGAAAAGATGAATGTATAGTTCCTCCTGTAACAGCTAGCACATTTATCATTGGTAGGTGGCATAAATGAGAATGTTTGCATGGAGGGAGAGGGAGAGAGAGACAGAGAGAGAGAGAGAGAGAGAGACAGAGAAAAGAGAGACAGAGAGGCTCCTGAAACCAAAAGAAGGACCAGTTGGTCCAAAACACCCAGCTTTTAAAACCTCTGGAGTTGAGTTTTCATCCCCTTGCTCAGTCACCAACTTAGGGAGCCCGTCGCTCTGTGAATAAAGCAGTTGGCAGAGGCTTTACGAATTGTGGTGTCATTGCATGGCATGCATGCAACCGGGGAGGAGACGCTTGCTGGCAGCTCTCCAAGTGCTTTGTCCAGTCAGAGTGGACAGTTAAGTCACATCTTTTGATGGCAGAAGGAAACAGCAAATAAAAAAATCATCCTTCTTTGAAACACATGATGCCCTCCATTTGGCCTTAACTGCTTTTTCTGTTGCAATGACAGCAATAATGGTTCCCATTTGTATCAGGAGCTACACTAATTGCTTGACGTATATTTTCTCTCGTTCTAAGAACGACGTGCCGGTTCGATTCCAGGACCCCATTTTCAAGATAAGGCAACAGAGGCTGTGCAGTTGCATGGCTGCTATTTGGGGTCTAACACCCAGGTTGATTTTGATCAAGGTCGATTTTCTTTCCCCACCTCCCCTCCATGCTGTTTCCAATGCTGCCCACATTTTGAAATTCTTCTGAAGTTTCTAAGCTTGGGAACAAAATGTCACATTAGGGTTTTTGTTGTGAAAGGAAATGTAACTGTGCATACGTTTATTAAAACAGTTTTTCTCCAAATAGTGAACCATCTGTACTTTTCTGTCAGAAGCAACAGACATTAAAGCAGCTGTGTGTCTCTGTTTCTCTTCACAGTGCTCCCATGCCCTACCTCATAGGAATCCATTTAAGTTTAATGGAGGTAAGTTGGCTTCTTTCCTCCCCAGATCGCTCTCCTTGGGGTTTTGTTTTGCTGTGTGGCGGTGGAAAGACAACGGTCTCAGGATTCACAGCTCTGCACGTGGGAGTGCGTCGAAGCAGCACCTCGTGCGCAGTCCCTTCCCAGGTGCACAGAGCTGAGCGCTCCACTTGGACTCTTGGCACCAGCCTCTCGTTTGCAGGGTTTTCCCGCTTTGCTTGGGTATTGTCAGTTGTCGTGGGTCGAGGGGGAGAGAGAGAGGAGGCAGGAGGAAAGGGTTCTTCAGGGCTTTGAAGGAAGGAAGGGAAATGATTCACCTTTCAAAATGATGTTTATTCTATAATCACTGTAACAGTATTGCATTTTTCATTGTAGGAAATGTGATATAAAAGGTGTGTAGAAGTATAAAGAAGGAAATTAAAATTATCCACCATACCATTATTCCGGATTGAACCGCTGTTAGCATTTTACTATTCTCCTTCCTAGTCTTCATTCTGTGACGATATATTTTGTGTAAATGCATAATTGATATGTTTTATATAATTTTATATCTTTATCTTAACATTATGGCATGTTTTTATCTACTCTCAGTAATCATTTTTAATTTGCTACCTATCATTCCCACTATTTGGATATACCACAACTTAACCGTTTTCCTACTGTTGGACACTTAGGTTGTTTATCATTTGTCACTATTATAAATAGCATTTCAGTGAACATCTTTATGCATAAGGCTTTATCTGCATTTTGCCTCATTTCCTTAGCATAGAGCCCCTAAAGTAGAAATGCTTGGTCAAAGCTATGAATCTGATGCCAGATTGCTTTCTGTATGGCTGTACCAATTAGATAGCAGTTCTTTTAAAGGACTTTTCTGTGCTTTGTACGTGCCATTACTTTGTAGACATGAACCCTGAGCCTTTTCCTCCTCAGGAGAGAGCTTAAATTTGTACCAGAGCAAAATGAGGCGTGGGAGGGAGGGGCTTGCCTGTTTTGCACGGGAGATGAGCTCTCAGAGGGAAAATCTACAGCCATGTCCGTCTGCGGTGGTGCTTTGCATGTCTTAAAGGAAGTGCTACTTCTCTTCTTCTGTTCCCTTCATTTCACGTCGACGAGGACCACCTGCTTCTTCACTAACTGTTGCACACTGTGCTATTGTGCTTACGAAAATGAAAGAAGTTGGTTATCGAAAAACCTGTTTGTTTGACATTGAGAATCTTGATCAAAATAGACCACAGAAATCTGCTCAAATTTCTAATTTGACAGGCCGGCCATGTGGCTCCTACATTCTGTTAACAGTTCCTCCTTGTCATCACCCAGCCCTAAGCACATACAGTACACAGTTTATGGACTATCTGGGATGATGTATTTAGATCAGATTGAAGAGATTTCTTCTGTGTTTTACCTTTGTCAAGTTTGGGGGGTGGAGGGGCATCTGTTCAAAGCTCCTGTATGAAAAACCGAAATTCAAAGCGAATGCTTTCTAATGGACCTTTAGTACCAGCTGTTGCAGAGTTGGAAACACTAATCTAGTGACTATTTGGTCTGTCAGAGTGCACAGTTCCCTCCTGCCTGTCTTTCCTCCTGCCTTCCAGACTGCTCCAGCACAGGCTCTTTCAGACTCCTTGTTATGTCCCAGCACCTTCAGCATTCTCCAAGTCTCTAATCCTGGCCTTCTCTTCTCTGCGTGGCCTCTAGTCATCTTGTTTAGGCTTTTTGCTTCAGCTACCAGGTCAGTGCCTCTCGGCTGTCATTCTAACCCTGGCCTGCCTCTCTGAACTTCAGGTCCAAAGTTTCAAATGCCAGCTGAATTACACCTGGATATAGTATGTATGTCTCACTCAGTCTCCCCCAAACAATTTATTATTTACACACACACACACACACACACACACACACACACACACACTCTCTCTCTCTCTCTCTCTCTCTCTCTCTCTCTCTCTCTCTCTCTCCAGGCCACTCCCCTCCCCTCCAGTGTTCCCTGTCCCTGCGAATGGCACCACTGCCTGCAGCAGCCAAAGTGGGATACACTGAGCATGGCCCATTGCTCCTCCTCCTCATCTTTCTCCCTAAATACTCACAAAGTCTCTGAAATGTCTCTCACCCTCTTCCTTCCTCACTGCCTTCAATGACACTTTTCTTTCCTTCCTGGATTCTTGCAAAGCCTCATTCATTCATTTGATAAGCAAAATGAGGGCCTCTTGTAAGCATTTTGCTAGGTCCTGGAGATATGAAGATGAATATGAAATTCAATTCATTGTCCTGACATTGAACGGGTTGCCCGCCACCTGGTCACTGTATAACCATGGGCTATAACGCTCGGGGAGGAGCCTCCCAATCTCCCTCTATGCAGCCCCTGAGTTCTGCACAGTCTCTCTGCTGCTGTCAAGCCTTCGGCCTAAACATATCCACATTCCCACACATCTGCATGGATAAGCCCTGCCTGTCTCCACCTCTTCCAAGAAGTCCTCCTGTTTTGTTGCCTTGTTTCAATTGTGGTACCTCTTGTTCTGAATAATAGCTGTTTGCTTCCTTGTCCCTCTCCATCATCCCCTGGAGTGAGAGTTCTGTGGGACCAAGGACTGTGCATTATTCACTGTGGTGTCCTCAACACCTAGCAGGATGCTAAGCCGGCCACACTGTCTGAGCAAATGCTCTCTGAAAAGAAAGGTTGAGTGAGTGCTCGGAGAGCTGTCATTTGGAGCACATTTACAAGCTCTCTCATAGTCATCACTGTTTTCAGGCAATGCAGTGCCATAATTTTACTTAAAGGTGGGGGAAGTAAATTTTTTACTTTTTATATAATTGTAAGTAATTTAAAATAAGGCCTTTTGTAGTAAAACCTGCAATGCAAAATACGCATAGATTTTGAAGCTGAAACTTGAGACAGTTTTGCACTTACGTGAATGGGCACAGGTCTACTCTGCACAGCCTGTGAAGGGCTTTGAGTGAGAAGGTTCAGGAAGCACTGGCCAAGACAGATCTCAGGCCTGTCGATTGAGGTTGAGGAGGAGTTTGCTGTGCTGAACCCCTGTGTGGTCAGCACAACAGTATAAACAAAAATGGGAGTCGCCCCATTCTTGAAGCCAGAAGACACTTTCTGAACAGAGAAGTGTTTCTTGGGTGAGTTGGGCAGCTATGACCTACCAAACCTTGCTATTCAGTCCCCTGATCTACTGACCCTGAATTTCAGCTCAGAGTCAGAGTGCCCTCATTGTGCTTTCTGACTGGGGGAATCTGGTTCTGTTGTACCCTTCAGGTGAGAGTTGCTTCCCCTGAGATTTCCTCCAAGAACCTGGGGCTATAACGCTTGGGGAGGAGCTCAGACCTGGGGCCAAAGGAAAGCTCTTTAAGGGAAGGCCCATCTCCTCTTGCTACACTAGTTTTCTTACTGGCAATTCAGCAAAAGGCTTATTTTTGACTGTCTTGTTATTTTTTTCTTGAAAGCTATAGGCACCTTATTATGCCTTTGCATATGTGCCAGAATTTTTTAAACTTCAAATGAATGTGGCAGATGTTCATAAAAGTTTAGAAAAAGCTACCATAGGAAGACTTTTTAACCATTTTTATGACACTCAAATTTGTTACACAAAAAGAAATATAAATTATAACCTAGTGTTCTCATTTGAAAAAGGGTTCTTTTGCGGAAAGACCTAATTCTAGCATTCATGCTCTTGCAGGATGCCATTGCTATTTGTTAAATGGTAACCTATCACCTTAAAGAGTCCACTTTCCATCTAAAGTGACAGGTTTGTACCTGATCATCATTCTTCCCTCTCCTTCTGCCTTTTTATAGTCTTCCTCCCCTTTAAGCAATTTGAGGCTAGTGGCAAGTTAGCAGAATAGCCAAGAAGGGTATTGGCATAGACCTAGTTTCTTCTTGGAGAGAATGATCATGTTAGCTGGCAGCTAGGAAATCCCAAAACACGGCCAGATTACACAGTGACTGTGTCCTTTCATTCAAGTGATCTCAGTTTATTTCAAGAAACATTTATGCAGCCCCTCTTCTGTGTCATCTCTGGTAGCAGCTGCCAGGTCATGTCTGGTAGATGGTGCTTCTCCTATTTGATAAATGAAGACTTTCTTCCCCAAGCCTCACAAGCAATGCTTTGTGTATAGACCTCAGAGTGACATGAGGGATTTATCCAGAAGATATTTTTATATCATTCCTGGTGGCAGGATGGTCAGCGAGGAGGAAGGAAAGGCAACAGCAATGATAGAGTTCCAGAGAGAGGCTCAAGTTGGCTTGTGAATGAAGCTCCACTGATACACAGAGGCAGTAATGTGCAGCAGTGAGAATGTGGGCTCTGGATTCTGGTACCTCTACTTCCTGCTTATGTGATCTTGGATGAGGTAATTGACCTCTGCCTCTGTTTTCTCACCTATAAACTGAGGGCAATGGCCGTGTCTCCCTTATAGGCTCACTGGGAGAATCCAGTGAGATAATGCATATCAGATACCTAGCACAGTACCTGGCACATAAAGAGCTCAACAAAGGTCAACTATCATTGCTGTTTTTATTTCTTCACTGGCCTTAAAGGCATTTCCATTTTAAGCTGATGGCTTTGAAATTGTGTTTTAGGAACTCTTAGGTTCCTAAGGTCATCATTCTCTTTCCCTAAGAGTTTCAACAGAATTGGTTTATACCTGCCTCATTTTCTCCTGGTTTGCTAGGCAGAGGTACTGCACCAGGGTCGGGGATGACACTTCTGTAGAATTTGATAAATGTGCTTCGAAACCCCTGCTTGACCACTTCCCTGCTGTGTTAACTTCAGTCATGATCCTTTGTCTTTCTGTGTCTTACTTTCTTCATCTCTAGGAGCTGAGTGCTGTCTCTGTACAGCATGTCCCAGTGTCTGGCATGTAGTAGGGACACAGCATACATGCCTTTCCACAGCGGTGTTTGCAGAGCTCCTGTGTACCAGGCACTGCGTTATACTAGGAGTTCTATAGGAAATGGCGAGTGTGACGTAATCTCTGCCTTCAGAGTTTTGTCCAGAGCA